GTGCTAAGCATTCCATTTGTTAAGCATTCCATTTATTCTCATACATTCATTCATCAACCTATCTTCAGCTCCATATCCACAGAAAAAGGTTCAGTAATTCAGGCCTATTCAATTTATCATACACTATGTCTAAATCAGCAGTCTCAAAGTAACATAAATGCCACTTGAGGGCTCCACACTGAAGCATGTTTATACATGGCCACAAAAATCTTTAGTAAGTAAAAAATGAAGGAAATGATGCATATAACAATACTGTATGCAATTAAATATAACTTTATTAAAATTTAAAAGAACTTTACTAGGAAACAGAACTACTTTTTCACCATTTCACTTTGGCCATTAGCTGGCACAGGTTTTCATCAACCAGAACTTCAATATCATGAGAGAAAACCAGCCTCTGTGCTGCTTGTTCATCAGCCAGCCTTGGCTTCAATAAAGACTTGTAAATTTTCACAGATGAGGAAAAAAATGTTCACATATATATGCGCCCACAAATATTGCTAATATCCTTGTGGAAGCAGTGAATAACTTGCAGAATCTTTCCAAAATAAGAAACTTGTAGAAATCTGGACTTCCAACACCATCTACTTCTGCTTAGAATTGTGTCACACCAAAACTTTGTGAACTCCATTTGTATATCCTCTGTAGTAGTGTCAATTTCCACAGTGAAAAAAAGGAAAAAAGTTGAAATTGTGGCTCAAACACCTTAAAAAAATTAAATCATATATCAAAGTGTTCCTGTGAATTTGAAATGATATTGGTAAACTCTCTGAAACATTTGGGTTCAACTTTACTTAACTGTCAGTTGGGAAATAACCCAAACAGCCAGCAGCCAGCTGTTTCCCCCCACAAAGTAAGCTTCACTTTGAATGATTTAACACTGTTACACATCTGTGTGATCCCATTTTCTTCGCTGAAGTTTCTAGTTAGTGCATTCAAGTGATCGCTTACATCTGTTCGAAAAGCAAGATGACAGATCAAAGTTGAATCACAAGCAGAGGAACCTCATTGTTTTCTATGCTCATGAAAGAAACAATCTCCTTTGTGTACACACACACAATCAAATTCTTTAGGTCATTTCTAGAACTCAGCTATTTAACTTTGGAGTGGCATAGAGGTTTGCCATACTGGTTGTTTATACATGCTAGAAAATAATTGCCTCTGATTCAGCCCTCATGCTCATATAAAAGCAATGGTTTTAACAGCTACATCCACAATTTCCTTAATTTGTAAGTAGTTATTACACAGGGCTTCTTCATTAAAAATGTAAAGCATGTTAGTGATGCTGATTCCTGTTATGGAGATGCTGTGAAGCTTTTCTTCAGCATACCAAGCAAGCAGTATTTTCAGAACACAATGAAAATATACTATCTGCAGCCACAGATATGTTTCTTCCATGGCAAAGCAGCTTATTTGTTCTGGTCTTTGAAATATTGTGGTATCTTTTAGTTTAATTCTTTAATTATTTTCAAATTACAATCCACACCTCAACTGAATGCTGCACGCCGTACCTCAAACATTGATATAAGACAACTGTCTTTTCTTATTGGAATCAACTGTTTCTTTATATTATCTGCTAAATTCTAGAGGCAACTATATTAGCTGATAAGCTTCTGCCTTCAGAAACTTTTTTTTTTTAATCTGTTCAATCATCTCATTCTCAGACCAGGAGATAAACCTCTGTTGGCCTTTATAAGATATTATTTTGTAAAGAGTGATGGTAATTTACCTATGATTTCACTCATCATGGAACTTTTCTTACTGAATCTTCCCTAGACTTGTTAATATTTGGGGTGGTGGGGTGTGTGTGGGTGTGATCTTTGTAGCAAATGCTGTTTTAAGTTGTAGAACATTTTCTTCATAGTCATTTTCTAGTTAGGGCTCATGATACATTGATGCAAGATGTTATACTCCTTGGGAACTGGAACTGCTGAAAAATAAGGCATTGAACTTTACCTTTTATTTCTATGAAAAATGATACATAAATTTTCCCATTTGTCTTGGAAAAACATTTTTTTCCTTCCACAACTCTTCTTTTTTAATACCAAAACCATTGAAACTGCTGGTGCCTTCAAATGTTGTACAATCAATGGTAAGATATCATTGATCCATTGCATAACCATGAATTGCCTGAAGGAGCTTCAAGAATTATTTCATAAATTCTTGTGATATGCATAAAAAAGAATAATGCATAGAATTGTACAACCATACTTTTTTCTATGTTGGTATCCTTTTTCACTGCTATTGCTGGCTAATAAATATTGTTCACAGCTGAATAACGAACTTGGAGGATCACATACAACTATAGGCTGCAAGACTGAGCACCCTGCTCTGGATCAACAAATGTGTAACTTTCTTGCTCTGTATTGTTCAGTGACCTACTGAGGAGCAAAAATATGCTTTGCACATCCTTTGCTGGGCAAAAAAAGAAAAACAACCACAACAATGCTGGAGTTCCCTAATTTTTTTCAGTCTCATACACTTTCAGGGCTTATCTGCTTTGCCCAGTAGACCCATTACTAGAACAGGCAGGCAACCTTTTCTGGGGGGCAGAAGTGGATGATATCACTCTCTGTTAATCCTTCAGAACAACCTCAGAGCCTGAGTTCCTGCTCCACTTCCAAGGGACTCTTTTCCCTGATAGATTGGTGTGAGTGCCCCGGTCCCTTTCAGCTAGAGCACTTCAGTTTGTTGCAGGCTAACTTTAGCAGTTCATTGGCTACTCTGGAGAGGATGAAGCACCCCTTCAACTTAGCTACCACTGACTCTGCACTCTCAACATTTCTATGCCTTCCTTTACTGGTATTGCTGAAATAGCATAGTGATTAAGATCTTCACCTAGTATATAGTAGGATGCTATGTTTTTTTAATTACTGTACATTTTTTCTTTTCCTTGCCAGCTAGTTTTCCCCCTGGGTTTTTCTCTCTTTTTTTGTCCAAAGGTGTGCTTAAATTGGCATGAGCAGAGGACAGGAGCAGCTTAAATGGGAAATGTGGTTATGTCCTCATTCAGAATTATGCCAAACATCTTTCCCAGCCAGCACAGTTAACAAACGAACCTCTCCTGTATTCCCTCTTGTTACCTTTTTGCTTGCAGAACAGAACAACAACGGCATTCTTCCAGTCATCAAGGCACAAAGGCAGTCTTCACACACCCATTAAACAAGCCATACAACTGCCTCATTAGGAAATCCCATCCATATTTTAACATTTCTCCATATAGATAATAGTTATTCAGAGCAATATGTGGTAAGCGCCTGTAAAGCTCTCCTCATCCTGATCTGAGTCATGGTGATCTGTCTGCTAATTTAGGGGATGCAAGTCCATACAGTTTAGGCTTTTAACCATAGAGTAAATGTACAAGTTAATCAGAATTGAATTGCAAAATCAGTATATAAAGGAAGAATGAATGGGTCAAGAAGAAGGGAAGACAAAGAAAATTATGATTGGGTGGAGTTGATGAGATCCTCAAAAAGAAAGAGGTGAGAACTTTAAAGAACAAAAGGCAATGTGTGAATTGGTGTATAGATGTGATAGAAGCAAGGATACAAAGGCTTGGAGGGGACGGAGTGAGTAATATTGGTATAAAGTAGATTAGATTTCCTTTCCTTTTATCTCTTCTCTCCATTTTCCTTTGTATACTTCTTACATTTACACCTCCTCCTTCCACTTTTTCTACACTTTGCCTAATCTTGATTAACATGAAAGAGAGTAGTGTGATAAGTGTGTTTGCATGTCTAAAAAAGCCCTTTCAATGTATTCTTGGTATTCTTCACTAACCTCAACTCATTCTGAGTCTTTGCTTTTCTAAACATAAGCTCTATAGTTCCAGGCTACCTCTCTGTATTCTTCTTTTTAGTAGACATGTGCTTGTGTATATGTACATTCTTGGTAATGTATTTTTGAGGATCATTGCCATTCCCTTGTTTTGAATGGTCTCATAATCAGATTCATGTAATCATCTGATTTTCATCCTGTCTACCTAAGTTCACTAAAACATCTAATTGAGAATGCTTCATTTCTGCTATAACAATTTCAGATTTCTCTTTATTCTTCTTACATTCCATGTTCCCGTTGTATATGTCCTTGTAAAATGAAGAAGTCCTCTTTGAATATTGGAATAATCAGTGACCAGATTTTCATGTGGTTCTGGTCTGGCTGTTATCTTTTCCAGATCTTCTTGTGAAACCTTAGTGCTCTTCCCCAGTAACTACAAGAGGGACTTATGGTCTCAACATATGGCACTGAAATGTGTCTAAATGTTGCAGCCATGTTGTTATGGTTTTCTTGGCATTAAATTGCTATTCCTTTTCTAGATTCATTTCTGGAGTTCTTTTTTTCTAACTGGGTCAACTTTACTCATGACTGTTGAACCCTACCTGCCCTCATCCCTGTTGTGAATTACCCTTACTTTTAACCCATTCTCTATCAACTTTAGAGGCCAGGATGATAATAATAGGAGCTCCTGTTCTGGACAGTACCACATTCTGGGTCACTGACACTATGGCAAGTCAATAATACCCTGGAACTGCTTTTTTTAAAAAATAGAATATACTAATACATTTTAAAAGTAAAAGTAATTAAATGTGAACCAGGCTGGTTATCCTCTAAAAACATAAAATAAAAGTAAGAAAGCAAAGATGCTGAGTTGAGCGGCATCAGATTTGGTGGACTGCAGCTTCTTATGCTAGCCTAGGTGGCAATGTTTTCTACTTTCCCCCATCTCTTGGGGGTCTACTGAGTAACCTCGGTGGTCTGGTCTACTCCTCATGACACCATTGAAGAAAGCAAGGTAATTCTAGAAAATGCAGTGCTAGAAAGCATGCCATGGTAAATACTTTTCTTTAAAAAACTTCAAACAATATTTCACCATTCTCACACCACACATAAAATTATTATTTGTACAATGGAGGAGCTCTGACAAGGCTAATACTATTTTTTCTTTTACTGCCATTATGATTAACTTTTATAATGTAAAAATATCCAAAAAGAGACCATAGGTTAATTTCTTTATTAGGACAATTTAAGATTTTACAGTGTTCAAGGTCAGGTTCTGGAGATCTCAGTAAAAGCACCTATGAGCAGACAGAAAGAACATGCCAAGCCTAAATTTAAATATAATGCACATGCATTTAGTCTGTTACATATGAGAAGTCAGTAATAGACTTTTTTCCATTACCAGCTGTGATATATCTGTAGAGTGAAATACAAGTAAGCTTTCGTTTTTAGCAAGCAAACCATCATGTTGGTAACCTTTTTGCTAGCATTTGCTAGCATTGCGGTAAGTCACTTCATAAAGAAACAAGCAACTGAGATACATTTTATCTTATTTCCCTTTCTTTCTGTGAGCTCTACCATATACTAATTTTAACTGATATGCATCTCTTTGAACACTTGATGTTGTCTTTGAACAAAGAGAGATACATTTCCAAAAGCTCTGCTTCCTTGCTATTCCTGGAAAATCCATTTGTATTAACTTGGCCTCTCTTCAGGAATGGAAGAAACCGGTAACCTCATGAGTTCACTCTATGCTTGCAGAAATCTGTTTTTCCATTGAAGGTACTGCTTGCTATGTCCTAGAACCTAGATGGATTTCATTTAGTTTAGTTTAATAACATCTGCTTCAGTCTTTGCTGTTGGGCATGGAAGATGAAGAGGTGTGTATTCATAGAGCATTGGAAGCTCTGGGGATAGTACACTCAAGTAATTGGCCAGTTTGAAACAGAAAGAGGAAGCACTGAGCGGTTAGCATTATCTCTGCTTAGCTTATTGGATACCTTGGATTGACACAAGGCAAACAATGGTTAGCTGAAGGTATTCTCTACAGCACACAGACAACATCATCCTGAAAGTATTAGAGATCTGTGGGCAGAGAGGACATTGTGGAAAAATGGTGGGTTGGTTTTCAAGTGCAGGCAAGGCAAATAGAAAGACTGATGGCGTAGAAGACATCTATTTCTCTTTCATCTCACTCTAGATAGAATGATTGTGATTTTCTCTATAGCAAATTCAAAAAAGGTTGCTGTATGCTGAGTCAAATCACTATTCTGTCTGGCTTTGAAGTTTCAGCCAAGGTCTTCCCTTGTCCTATCGTGAGATGCTATGAACTAAATTTAGAGAAGGTCTTCTCTAGAAGGTCTTCAGGATCTTCAGGATCTTCAGGATACTCTAATCCTTCTTAAACTGGGATCATTTGTTTTCTGACACTGACTAGTGGTAAAAGATTATCTCTTTTCAGTCCTTCTCTAGGCTATTTCAGAGATTTTGGGATGTAAAATTTTCTTGATATATACATGCTGGCATCCCTTCACCCATCCTCCCAGGTTACTAAACATTAAATCTCCCAGGGTGGAAGGAAAGGAGAGAACTGCAACAAGACTAATACACATATATACCTAAGTGTATATGGAAAGACAAGATGCCAGTATAGTGCTTCCCTTCCCTTCTACCTGGCTACCCAGAGAACAAATGCCATTAAATGTTCCTTGACTTTGTAGTTTTTCTATCATAATTGTAACCACAAACACCATAAGATTACACATTTCTGTTATTTCTATGACACATTTCTAAACTGTTGTTTTAAAACTAAACTATTAGCTTTATTTTCATAACCCATCAGTGTGGTCAGCTGCAGGAGAAAACTCATCTCGTGTCAATTTACAGAGAAACTGTTTGCTGAGTAAATGAATATGTGGAATCATCGCTTTGCCAGATCCCTTAAATCTTGCACAGTGGCTTTTACTCATAAGGAATTGTCAGTTAGGTTAAAACAGCACATACCTGGCAATTCCTCACAAGTGCAACATATAACAGTTGGGGAAGAGATTTCTACAGCATATAATTTCAAAGATCTGATCTAAGACATTCATCCTTGATATATGAATAGAGAACTATTAACAGAGTCTGTCTGTTTGTGATGCTGGATTTATACAACACCCTGAGAATGCATGGAGAAATCCAGTTGCAAGTCCTACTTATTGTTCTGGAATGGTTTAGTATGCGTTCCATTGGTTCCATTTGTTGGTCTAAAAAGAAGAGACAGAGCTTGAAAGACATGCCATGCCAAAGTGGCCAATCTTTTTGGAACAATGGGCACATTTTAATTTTGAAAGTTCTCACAAAAGGGATTATTACTTGGTGGACTGCCTGTTCACTGTGGGTATGGTCAAGCGCAAAACGTGTATTTAATTGGCGTACTGCATCTGGGCTACAAAAATCTGGAGAGCCACTAGATAGCAGCAAACGGGATACAGACAGTTGTAATTCTTTGTGGTCATATGGATTTTTGCAGCCCAGATCTGGTAAGCATATCTGTGCCAGAAAGCCAACTATCCAGTTTGCATCCTGCCAAACTCATAATTTTTTTCTCATACAAGGTCAATCTCTGGGCTGCACATGTCTGTCAAATGTTAACCTAATTCTGTAATTAAACATTGAGCTTTAAAAAACAACATGGAGAACGAGAGCATGTTTCAATCCCATTCTAGTGAGTGGAGCTTAAGCATATGGAATGGGGCACGTAATGGAAAACTCACCGTTTACATTTACATTTTCTTTTGCTTCTCCTTGGACCTTTGGGAGGAAGAAAAATATACATTTTAATAAATAAGGTATTGCACTGTTTTGCTATTCTTTCATCCTTTGTATATTACCCAACTTCATAATGGATCTATATCTATATCTATATCTATATCTATATCTATATCTATAGCAAATTCAAAAAAG